TATAAACACACACACATGTATTATAATCATAGAAGAATGACAAAAACTTTAAAGCAATCTTCATGTTTCTGACAAACTTTCACAATCACTACTTTAATAACGTTTCTAAAAATAACTGTTCTGGGGTCTGTGTTAAAGACAAGGATTAAAGTCTCAGCCAGCGAGGTAACTTCAGGGTAATTTCTAAAGCTCCTTCACTTCAACCTACCATCCTCTGTCACCATGGAAACTTACATGTTAGAATAAAAACCTGCTTCACAGCAGAAAAAAAAACATTGTTCAAGCAATGAGAATGGACCCTGTTTCTTGTGTAACTCACAGAAGAAACTGTTCAGTTTAACAATTTTTCTAAAAAAATTTTTTTTTCAAATACTAAATTGTCTTGTTTTTTTTTCTTCATAAAAACGGTTCAACTTTTTAATTTAAACCTCTGATGTGTTTACCATGTTCCACTGTGAATAAAATATAGGTTTGTAGGACTTGAAAATGTTTGCACTTTGTTTTCATAATTCCTGATGCATCTCAGTAATCCAGGTAGAAAAAAAAATGAAGTAAGTTCTCTGGACAAGAGAAGAACCCACCCAGAGGACCTACCTTTTTTTGACATTCCATGATTCTAAAAACCCCTTTTTGTTCTGAATTGGGGTTGTGTTTTATTCTAAGTTATTTGACAAACTGACATTTAAATGTTCCCACACTGCACAGAGCTATGATGACATAAATACAGTYTATAGGAGGTTTTTGACCAAATAATGCAGACTCAACACAAGAATGAGTGGGTTTTCTCCAGGTGCTACAGTTTCCTTTCAGACCAAACACATGTATGTTAGCTTCACCGGTACACATCATAYGTCTCAAACAAATGCTTGTTTTGTAAATGTAATTATTTTGAACATAATCATGTTTAACTCTAAATCGGCATCGTGTAAATGGGCCTAAGTAACGTCAACTCAGCAGTTGAAAGTGGGACAGTCTGTCAGGAACTCCCAGGCCACGTTTTCTCCCCAGTCCAGCCCTGTGAACTGAAACTGAATCCCAGTGGTGGGCACAGTTCCCATAAAGCTCTAAAGCATTAATAGGAGAACTAATTTCCTGATTAGTGCTTTAGGGCTTTTGCTAATTTTAAAATTTATTAGTGGATTAGCACTTGCTAAATTTATAGGCTAAATTTAGAAGCACTAACTGAGGTCTATAAATGTTATTGATCAACGTTAATGTTAACAGCTGAGCTGTCACACATTTTGTTCAAATGTGTGTCACTGATCCACCAGGTGACAATATATGAACCCAAATCCAGCTGTGGAATGTCAACGATAACTCTAAAGAGAGCTACATGGTAATATGTGACTCAYGTTGTCTGCTGAAGAATGTTCATGGGTTGATTGGGTTATTTTAGTGCTTTAGAATTAGGGGCCCTAAATATTTGGGTTAGTGTTTTAAGGCTAGTGGAACTAATTTTTAGATTAGTGCTGCCCACCACTGCTGAATCCGTATGGCAGTTGCAGTTATTGATAGATTTAGTTGTCACATTATGTGGATGGAAGCATATTCCACTGAACCAAAAGTAATCGCTCAAAAAAATGCTTTAAATATGTTTTTAGGATTTTACTTCACACAGTTCATTCAAATGATATATGTGAGCCATCATATCGAAATGAGGATTAAGTCAAATTTGGTCAAAATTACCTAATTACATTTTCAGATTCTTGGCTTTAAAAGCTACATTTTGATACCTGGATCATTCTGACATCATAACTAAATCCATATATATGACTCAATTTGTCTTGTTGTTTACAATAATACATAAATGTCCTTATAAAGAGGAAATCTCAAATTATATTTGAATATTGAGATTTTCCAACTAAAAAAATAAACAAAGCTTTGCTAGCTCGCAGGGAAAATCTCAAAATTTTAAGGCGTTTTTCCTCAAAATCAGTTTTTTTGTTGCTACTGCTCAGAAAAGTGCTTCAAAATTTTGTTTTATGATTAAATTTCAGACAGTTCATTCAACTGATACATTGATGAGGTTTTATTCATTATATTTTGACAAAATGCAATTTTTGTTAACATTTTAGTCAAAACACTACACAGTAAAAACTGGAGTGTTAAAGTTTCAGTGTTAAACTTTTCATAGTTAATTTCAGCTCCCAAGTGTTATTTTTAACACTTTCTGAGTAAATTAACATCCAGTGTTGGTGTTAATTTACAGAGTTAATTTCATCTGTGTTGTCTCAACTCTGRACAGTGTTATAAGCTCCGTCCACTGTTAAATCTTGATTAACACTTAACAGTGTTTAAAGAAGTACTCTGAAAAGTCCCGCCCTCTTCCTCAAAGACCACAATTTTCTCAGCAAGGGATGTTGGGTAATCTTGTAGAAATTATGTGTTTGCTTGTCTAAGACTGTTAAAAATGTTCATTAATGTAAAAAAAAAGTTTTTTGGTCATTTTTCTTGTTCAGGTTGGTTAGTTTTTAAGTTTAGGTTTTGTGTTGTTGGCCATAAATCGACACCATGAGTGAGAGGTACTTCCTGGTGTGTGAAAGTCGACCCTGTCGCACTGTTAAACGGAGAAGAGAACAGTGTTAATACAACACTTAAAGAGTTGATTTTAACTCTTGGTTAGAGTGCATAACTCTGCGTACTGTAAAAAGGAAAACAAATAATAGGAGTATCACACAAAAAAATGGTACTTTTTATAGCAAATTTAGTGTAACTCCAGAAAAATAATATTACTCTGCAKAGTGTAAACAAACTATAGTGTGAAATAATTTTACTCTTTACATTGTTGCTTTTGACACTAAAATTAGTCAAATTAACTCTGAGAAGTTGACAATGGCTATAGAGTACATTTTACACTAATGTTGAGTGGGGACAAATATTGTAACAGAGTTAAATTCAACTCTATAGGTGTTAAAATGACACTTTGTTTTTTACTGTGTATATTTGCCTATTTCTCCATTTACCACTTTTGGACTTAATCCTCGTTTCGATGTGATGGGTCACATATATTTAACACAKAGGAATTATTTGGGGAATTCTAACTGACCTAAAACAGGAAAAGGTCTGATTTAGTGTCAGATACTGAGAAAAAGGGTTGTGCGTTTTTACGGGGTGAAAACATCTGTTTTTAACTGTATACTGCATTGCAGAGCAAAATATGTTATTTCTTTTAGGTCTGAGAAATTCTRTACTCAGGATTTAGTTTGAAGCRTTGAGGTATTTCAGAAGCACACCGCAGCTATCCTGAATTGTAAACGAACTATGACATGYCAAAAGATTCCTGCCCCCAATATACTGTATATAGATACTTGCACAAGTTTATTATAAGCATGCAGAGAAGGCAGAAAAAGAAGAAGGTTCTGACAAACAGACAGCTCTAATCCCTCCCCCTCACTGCTGTTTGCTCTCTTTCCTCTGTTGTGGGTGGCAGCATAGTTAAGGCACAGATTAACACACACGGCTCATCTCGTCAGGAGAACTGCCCTAGGTTAAGCCCTGCTCCTCTTACTTTCCTGCGTGCAAGACAAAGCTACCTCACTGGTTACATTGCTTTGAGAGACTGCATCAAAGAAATAACCACACAGAAACTGTCCGACTCAAACGTTACACGCTTTGCTGTTAATATTCTGCTGTTTCAGAACACTGGAACCAGTCCTGACTTCAGATTTTGTGACACGTGTCTTCTTTAAGTGCTGAGAAATAAATCCTGCCTGTCATTATTGAGAATGTACAAGCAGAATATTTTTAGCAAGTATCAGCAGTTTGGGGTTTTATGTATGTAAATCTAACCACAAGCTTTTTGTCAACACAGAGTTGAGGATCAGGTTGTGTGCGGTGGATTTGAAGGCTGGACRTTGCCTGTGATGCTAACAGCTGGTACTGACCTTGTTTTTACCCAAACTGAATGCAGACAGATTAGAAAGCTGGTTCAGCACTAATAACTCCACGCTCTTCAATGACTAATGCCTACAGAATTATAAATATGGTTCAGGTGCTGCATGTGTTGTTCTCAGCAATAAATGTTTTTTTATTCATGTGGTTGATTTATGCTCATGTCTGTCTGTTACCAAAATATTTAGTATGATAGTTGGTGCAGGATACATGTTTCTGAACCACTGGACATTTTTATAAAACTCAACCGCAGTCCACTGACATAAAAAAAACAATACATGTTTTTATCTTTGTCAATTAATCAGACACTGTCCTAAAAATCCACGCTAACAGATCTTAGTTTAGTGTTTAGTCACTATTTGGAGCCAACTTTGTCGGTCTGTTATCAAAATATCCCATGGATCAYTACAAATTTGATAAAACTTTCACAAAAAATACTTTGATAATCATAAACAGCTTATTAACTTCTGAAGCCACTTCTAAATGACAACATATAACTCAATTTATACAACACTAACTATAATATTTCAGTCAGTTTTGCAGATATTGTAGTGAAATTTGGTGTAGTAATACCAGAGAGTTATTTACAACACATACTCCAAGTGCTACTTGTTGTAAAACAATTCTGTCTAAAACTTCAGCAATAAATTTTAGAGTCAACCCTGTTGGTCTATTAGTAAAACATATGGAGCTCAAATTTGATGTGGTCGCACCTCAGCGCCTTCATCTGACAATATCAAATAAAATTACACATAATGYATCTTTGAAGTTGCACTAAAATGTTTAAAAGCTATTCGAAATTAATGAATTAATTTRTTGTTCTAATTTGTTGGTTCTGCTTTGCTTTTTAGCCACGAAGTATTGAGACTTGTTATTAAATTTACATGCAGTTTATGGAAAAGTGAAAACAAAGGTCAACATGTTCTCAAACCAATCCACCCCAGCAGTGGCTTTAAAAAGTTTTACATGTTAAAGGATTCTGAATGATTGTACAAACTTCTCTTATACTCAGCTTACTTTGCCTCTTCATCTCTGGCTATAAGAAGGCGCATGTGGTTAGTTGCAGAGGCTGCTCTCAAGATATCCACAGCTCTGTGAAACAGACATGTACAATAACATGTTTACTGTGCTTAGATGTGATCAGAGAGCTTCTGCAGCTATGAGAGGAGTCGGCTTTTACAAGAATACCTTTCACTTGTGACTCCAACAAGGCTGTCGCCGTTAACCTCCAGGATCTGGTCTCCTGGTAACAAGTTACCTGTAAAACACAAGAACAGCTCACATCAGTCCTGCAGCAAACAATGAGTTGCAAATGTTTTGATCTGACTGCTAAGAGGGGTGTTTTCTTTTTCTCAGCCATGTAAAATCAAATCAATCAATCAATCAATCAATCAATCAATCAATCAATCATAAAACATAACTACATCAGCTTCAAGTCTAAACCTAAAATAATCTAAAATCAAAGCTTTGCAGCAGGGCTGTAAAATGAAGGCTGTCCTTTGAGAGGCAGAAGCGTTTGGCCTCATGCAAGAACCGTTCGTACGCACAGATTAGTTCTTAAATTGTGCGTACGAGTGATTTAGGAGACTTTGTGGCATTCACC